TCTTGCTGCGCCGCCGCCGCTCAATCAGGCTGTGGGCCGTCTTGCGCGCAATCTTCCTGCCGGCGGCGCTGGTCGCGCTGGGCTGCTTCTTCTTGTTGCTGTTGTTGGACGGAGTGTCGCCGCCCTTGGCCGAGGCACCTCCGGGCCCGGAGCCGGCGGCGTCCGGGGCGGCCGTCTTGGCGGCGGCGGAAGCTCTCCCGGCGATGTTAGCGCGGCCGAAGGACTCCTTGGTGGTGGTAGTAGTAGACGCCGAGTTGGCGCCGGCGGCGGTGGTGCGCGGCTTCATCTGGATAATCTTCCTGGAGCGCGTGGGCGGCGGCGGCAGGGCAAAGGTGCTGCTGCTGCTGGTGGTTGTGTTGGCCTTGCTGGAGGACTCCTTGGTGGTGGTGGCGGCGGACGAGCGTCTGCGGGACTTGACCGTCTCGGCGGCCTGCATGGGATATACCACCGTCCTGGGCGAGGGAGCAACGTCCAGGCCTGCTAGGCCCGAGGTAGCAGCAGAAGAAGGAGGGCGGTTGGCGGACGACAAGGGCGAGAGCTTGGGGTCGACGGGGGAGGAGGAGGAGGAGGAGGAGGAGGCATCGTGGATGGCCGGCGGAGGCAGCTCAAAGGCGAGCTGCAGGGCCGAGAGCTGCTGCACGCCATCCTTGCCCCTGATATCAGACGAGGAGCCGGGCGTGGGCGGCAGCGCTGGGCGAGGCATGGCCAACTTTTTCTTTGTTCGGGTAGTGTATGTACTTCTTTTTGTGCGGGATGACGAATCTGTGTAAGCCAATTTGGGGGGTGGGCTGCGTGTGTATGTGTGTGAGTGTGTGCCGTTTCTTCTCGTGCAAGCCTGGATCTGGCCCGTCTCCAATCTCTCTCGGCCAGGGGCTCGGCGATCCGCAGGTCGCAGCTTTTGACTGATGATTTTTATAACACGAGATGCACCAGCAGGCACTAGGAGATCGATGGCTGAGCTGAACTGGATAACGCGGCAGCTAGGTTGAGGCGCAGCTTCAAAGATGGATCGAACCTCCTTCCGGGCTTCTATGAGCACGAGCTGGGTGAACGACAGCGGCACCACACCTATTGATGGGGTGCAACAATGAACGAAACTGTTTTCCGCGGAAGAGGGCCACTGAACAACGGCGCACCGAATCTGCGGGCGGCGGGTGCGTTGGTTGACTGGTATCTCGATGAGATGTGATGCAAGGGTCCTTGTGTGGCTTTGGGTGCAGCTTGGTGATTTGGCAGAGATAAAGCTCGAAGATATGGTATGTGGTGTTGCAGGCGGTTTATGATATGTGTTGT